TTGGTAAAGCAAAACTTTATTGCATCTGACAAAGCTGCAGTGTGGGCCTAAACATTTCCAATAAATGTTCTTGTGCTGTTCTGTCCATCTTTTTGCAATTGAGTCTCTCTTACTCTAAGCTGCATTTTTTTCTGTTCCTGTACTTTAGTTCCTTTGGCTTGTGTGTTGAGACTGCTTTCCTTTTTTTCTGATGGGAACTTGTTTTACTCATTGGACTAGTCCCCACTCAAGAGTGTGCAACTTAAAGTACCTAACTTATTTCCATGATAAACTAACTAACTTCTCCTTCCATGAAGAAAATTGGGGTTCCTGATCAAATAACACAGGTTATTTTCTTCCATGAAGAAAACTGGGTTTCCTGATCAAATAACACAGGTTATTTGTGTTTAAAGTTTGTGTTGTAGCCTGTGTTAGAAGAGAAACTCTTAAATCTACAGACAAGGTCACATTTTGAGTGCAGAGCCCATTACAGAAACCAGCTTTTAAAAAGCATTGCTGTCTTTTTTCGTAAGGACAAAATTTTCCTGAAGAATCATAGAACGGTTTGGGTTGGAAGGGACCTTAAAGCCCATCTAGGTCCCCCCCCCCTGCCATGGGCAGGGACACCTCCCACTAGACCAGGTTGCTCCAAGCCTCATCCAGCCTGGCCTTGGACACTTCCAGGGATGGGGCATCCACAGCTTCTCTGGGCAACCTGTCCCAGCGCCTCCCCACCCTCTGCGGGACGAACCTCTTCCTGATATCTAAGCTAAGCCTCGCCTCTTTCAATTTAAACCCGTTACCCCTGGTCCTGTCACTACAGGCCCTTGTAAAAAGTCCCTCCCAGCTTTCTTGTAGCCCCTTCAGGTACTGGAAGGCAGCAATAAGGTCTCCCCAGAGCCTTCTCTTCTCCAGACTGAAGTAGCCAAATTCTCTCAGCCTTTCATTATAGGAACTGGTTTCTCAGTATCTCTAGAAAACTTGCACTTCAACTGATTTTTCAGAAACCTAAACCTGAAAACTGTAAATGTGGTAGAATTTGTGTGATAATGTATTTTGGTGTTACTGTTTCATTTAAGGTGGTGTCGCAGCCTCCTGCTCCTTTATCCCTTTATATTATGATAAGACAGTCCCCAAACAGTCCTCATGGCCCCTGAAATGGGTCAGAAACATAATCTGTCTCTTTCTTTTTTTACCATTTTTCACCCATAGTTCCCACTGCCTTCCTGACAGTTGAATCAACATAACTGAGCAGGGGGCATGTTGTGTGGAGGGGGAAGCTACGGGGGAACAGGATACTTACTATATGCTGCTGTTGCTGTCAGCTACAGTGTGTCCTCAAACAGTGGCCTGAGGAGATCCTGAATATCTCTTCCTGAGGTCTGAGGGTGCTCAGGGCCACCTTCACTTGGTGTTTTGGTTGTGAAGACAGCAATCAGACTTGCAAACTAAACGTTTCTCTAACTTCCTGCTCATGAATTGTTACAAGGAGGGAGAAAATACGCTCTGGGAAGTTGCTTGTAACTTGATAATAACATTGCAGACATTATGAATAAGGTTATTAAAAGTGTCTTTATAAGTATCCTTTTTGAAATCATTAATTTCTTCTGTATTCATGGAGAGGGTTCTCCTTTTAATAAAAGAATGTCGGCAGTGGAGAGTAAAAATTGCAAGTACTGTGGAAATCTGTGCATCTTACTGCTGATATGAGTAGTCCAATGACAGTAACTGTTGTTCAGGCACATAATTTTGACCCTAAAAAGAGAAAATGCTTCTCAGCATAGTTGAAAAAGAGATTACTCCCACGGTTATGATATCTGTCACTTGGGGGGGTGTGTGACACTGAATTCTCTCCTAAACACTGTTGAAAGATGTAAAAGTTCTAACTGTAATATTTCTGTACCTGCTGAAAGCTGTAATACTTGTGATTGTAGTATTTCTGCACCTCTGTGTTCAACGTTGCACAGTTGCTTGGCAAGACCTAAGTAGGAAACCCAGCCTTCTTTTTGTCTTCCTGCCCTGTATTGGTTATCCTTGGGAATAAAATGAGAGAGAGAGCTTCCAGTTATGACCAGAAGTCCTGTGTGCACCAGTCTGTAGAGGACTCAAAATAATAACTCTTGGAAATGCATGAACTTTTAACGTGATTCAAAAGGAATACTAATTAGTGACCCTTATTAGTGTAATTATCACCTGTGACAGATTATGCTGTTGCTTAAACGGGCATATTTATTCAGCTCACATGTTTCTTTTTTTTTTTTTTCCCTGCCTTGCTGTGTTGGGTTTCTTTCTTTTGATAAGATTGGCAGGATTCCTTCCCACTGTTAAAGAACCCCAGCAGTTGTTTTCTGTATCCCACAGACCCTGCTGCTTAGCAGAGGTCAGGATACCATCAGTCTCGGTTCGTCTTCTAAAATTCTCCCCTTTGTTCATTAAAAACTTGCAGCTGTTAACATTATCAAGAGTAAGTTTTCCAGCATCTTGAAAACTTAATTGATTTAAACTTAAAATTTTCATAGAATCATAAGTTTTCAAACAGTATGAAGGTAATTTTGAGGAATTATGAGCAAAATTATGAGCAAAACAATCATTTTGAAATGTACAGGAAGCTGCCACAAGCATTCTAGTGTGGTTACTTTTCTATGGATGTGCCATGGATGTATGGAGGAGAGTACAGCCTGACAGTAAAATTCGGAGCCCTGTGCTGAATTATGTGTGGGTCCTGCCTGTGTGTGGTGTTTTACGCTCTTGAAATGGGAAAATGAATAAATGAATGCTGTTTTCTTCCAGGAGAACGACGCCTCTGTAAGACTGAAAATTGCTTCCTTGCTGGGCTTGTTATCGAAGACAGCAGGATTTTCCCCAGACTGCATTATGGATGATGCCATTAACACGCTTCAGAATGAGAGTAAGCCTTGCTTTTCAGGTGGTGCTTGACGTCAGGGCAGAACACACTCTTCTAAGCAAACAGGACAGTGGCAAGGCCCTTAAATCTGAAGTGTATAATTGGGAATTGTTGCTCAGCATTTATTTTCTGCTGTTGTAAATGGTGACAGACAATATCAAGTTCTGAGGAGTAAAATGTTCCTCAGTCCTGCCTGCCATATACCTCTGTTTCAAGGGATTGCTAAGTTGTCTTTTGCATCTGTGTGTAGGAGCTGTGTTTAAAGTGCTCTGTTTTAGTGGACAGTCTTGCTTCGAGTGGAATCTTCCTTGGAGTGTTGTTCTTCCAATGCTGTGGCCCAGCTCCTCAGAGCTAATGCAAGAAGATGTTAGGCTGTGAGCACTGGATTTGTAATAGACAGTACTGGAAGGTGCTGTAAGGTCTCCCTGGAGCCTTCCCTTCTCCAGGCTGAACACCCACACCTCTCTCACCCTGTCCCCATGGCAGAGGGTCTCCAGCCCTTGGAGCATCTCTGTGGCCTCCTCTGGACTCTCTCCAGTAGTTCCTTGTCCTTCTGTTGTTGGGGGCCCCAGAGCTGGATGCAAAACTGGAGTCTCATGAGAGGAGAGTAGAAGGGGAGGAATCCCCTCCCTTGACCTGCTGGCCACACTTCTTTTGTCCCAGTGTCCATGTCATTCATGAAGATGTTAAGTAGTGTTGATCCCAATGCAGACCCTTGAGGGATACCCCTTGCTACTGGTTTCCAGCTGACACTGAGCTGTTGACTAACTCCTTGGACGTGGCCAACCAGCTTCTCATGAGAGGACAGTAGAAGGGGAGGAATCCCCTCCCTTGACCTGCTGGCCACACTTCTTTTGTCCCAGTGTCCATGTCATTCATGAAGATGTTAAGTAGTGTTGATCCCAATGCAGACCCTTGAGGGATACCCCTTGCTACTGGTTTCCAGCTGACACTGAGCTGTTGACTAACTCCTTGGACGTGGCCAACCAGCTAATTCCTTATCCATCTAACAGTGCATTTGTCAAACCAGTATCTGTCAGTTTTGGAGGTGAGAACGTTGTTGTGGGCCAGGTGAGCAGTAGGCTAAATGTGGGTGAGCAGTGAAGGGTCACTGCATACCAGGCTGTGTCAACAGGAGTGTGGCCAGCGGGTCGAGGGAGATGATTCCCTTTTACTCAGCACTGGTTAGGCCACATCTGGAATACTGCATCCAGTTTTGGGCTCACCAGTGCCAGATAAGGTTGAATGAGTTCCGCAGACGGCGGCCGAGGTGGTTGGGGGCTGGAATAGGTGATGTGCAAGGAGGAGCTGAGGGAACAGGGCTTGTTCTGGCCTTTGAAATGAGAATGCTTCAGGGCAGCCTTCCAGCCTGGATGAGTCTGATTGTCTAGCTGGTGAGGAGTTCAGTGAAGAGGTACGTAGCCTTTCACCGTCTTGTTTTGCAGAGTCGCACCAAGTCCTTGCTCAGCTGCTGGATACCCTGTTGGTGATCGGAACAAAGCTCACGGAGAATACGTCTGTCAGGATGAGACTGGTAGAAGTAGCCTGCAAGGTAGGGCAGCCTCCCGGGGGCAGGCAACTCTTATCACTGCCACAGGAAAAAAATATGCAGTCAGTGTTTAAATTATTTTCGTTTTTCTCAACAAACTGTTACAATACTAACATTTTTTAACTGCTAAGAATCTTAGTATGATGAGTTGTTTGGAAGGGGTGAAGGAACAGTAAGTATCCAGTTGTGTCTATTCATCTCTTCCACAGCACCTGACAGATTCTTCCCATGGTGTACGAAATAAGTGTCTTCAGTTAATTGGCTGTCTTGGACCAGTGGAAAAAGGTGTTGCAAAAGAAGCTGAAAGCCAGGCTGCCAGAGATGTCCAGAAGATCATAGGAGATCATTTTAATGACCAGGACCCCCGCGTTAGGACAGCAGCTATAAAAGCCATGGTAAGGATTGCTGTCACAGTGATATAAATTGTCTCGGGTTTTATAAAAAAGCTGGTAAGGGGTTGCAAGCTAATTCAAAGAGGTTTGGATTAGAGATGATTTAATTACATTAGAAAAATTCCATTTAGCATATCAAAATCATTAGGAAAGTTAAGATAGGTTATGGAATATGAGCATTGTGAGATCTGAAAGGGCATTTTAGTGACTCACAAAAGCTTCTTCACATATAGTCGAAAAAGAAACTTTGTAATTTGACTTTTTTGAGTGTATGTAGTTTGTTCTTTTACTGCTAAATCTATATTTCTTGTTTTATCACTGGTTTCCAAAATTTCAATGAGCTACTAGTGCTCCAACACGCAGCAGAAAGCTCCTTATGACAGGAAGCCTGAGTGATAAGTCCAGGAAGAATTTTGTTTGTTTTTAAACAGCATTTATGTTTTGCCCCATAGGCACATTCATTAACATTCTCTAACCGTTTAAGAGGTTAATTGGTTATGAGGTTAAATAGTTTTCATGCAGACTGGAGCATGGGGAGCCTTCAGAGGTTTATAGCTCTGCAGAAATGCAAAGAGACAGTGTGCTTGAGAAATTTGCTTGTGAATACATAAAGTTCCTCTATTACCCTTAACGTTTATAATAGCATCACATCTGACCTGATGTGGAACAGGGGTGTTTGGATTAATGACGTTAAAATCCAAAGAAAGAAGCAGGATGCATGTGAGGAGATCAGGCTGCATGTGAATCTTTCTGGTATCTCCCTCTGCTAGGGGTTGCTCTCATCCTTCTTTTTTGTTTCAGTCTGAGGGTTTTGTTACTTTTTTTTTTTAAAGTAATTTGAGTCACTCTTTCAGTGACATTCAACCAAATCCATAACAAGATCTATCACAGAGTCATGGAATGGTTT